TGTATCCATGATAATATCAACACATTCAGGAGGATAAGTTGAGCAATATTCCGGCTGGTGTTTCAATTCTATGAAAAAAAATTAAACCATTATTATAGAATAAAAATTTCACGTGAAATATGTGTTCCCTTTTTCACTTCACTTTCCTTCACTAATTTTTTTGAAGTGATAGAATTTTGTAAACAATTAATAGCTGTTGCGAACAAAATCAACTATTGTGAATGAATTTTTCACAATAGCAATTATCGCTTCGAAGTGAATGAACATTTCAAGGGAACAAACATTTCACTTCTATTAGCGATAGGAGTGAATCTTAAAAAATCATACTTACCCTCTTTGCCATACATACAAGTAAAAATTCCCAAAAAACAATCATTTGGTAAGGTACAATCTAACGGATTGCCTCCTGGATCTTCAATTGTTGCACAAATTGGCTTGAAAACAAAAGGACAAGGTTTTACGCAATGGGATTTGTCTTCAGCCATGACACAGAAGACTAGACCCGATAATAAAATGATGCAGCTAGTAGCTAAATGCATTTTAAAGTTAAGGGAAAAGTTTACTCTTTGCAAATATAATTTCAGAAGTCGTTAAATGTGAAGCGTTTTTAGCACTATTAGTTATATGACATTTTTTTTGAAACAAATCTAAATTTAAATATATTATTAATGAGGGAAAATTTGAATAAGATTTTAACGAAACACGTATTTTTCAATACATATTCGAATGTAATCTGAATAATCAATTATGAATGCATAAGGTTAATTTTAAAATAATTCGAACAATATCCAGCAAAAACTTCTAATGAAAAGTTAAGAAGTTAAAAAAATGTTTTTCAATATTATCACTTTAACACAGTGGGGGATAAAGTGGGCCTGGGGTTCTATCATTTACCTAATCATAACACAAGCTTCTAGGCAGAAGTCCGAGCAATAACGGAATGTGTAAATTGGATTAGAATAAATATAGCGCCCACAGCCCTTAATATATTTACCGACAGCCAGAAGCAATTAGGGTGATATCAGGTGATAGAATTAAATCTATACGGTATTGGATTGTAAGAAAGCTTTAACTGAATACTCTCCCAGAGTTAAGGTTTGCATCATATGGGTACCAGGCCACTCTGGAGTAGTCGGCAAGGAAAGGGCGAATGTAATAGCTTTAAAGGGATGATAGCTCGAGGTAGTTAACCTGACGAACGCAAAACCATTCGACGCAACAAAGCTGAATTAAAAATATGGTTGAGAGAATCCCATAAGGCTTCTTGGAATAATGAAACGGTGGATAGAACCACAAAGATCCTATGGGATGACCCTGATGAGAACAAGACGAGAAATCTTCTCAAAATAAGCAAGTCTTAAGTTAGTATGATGGTACGTATTCTGAGTGGACACACAGGAGTACGAGCACATCTATGCAAAATTGGACGTTCGGATTCAGACGAATGTAGAGCATGTGGAGAGGACAGTGAAAGCACTTTCTTTGCCATTGTCAAGCATTCGTCGAAGTTAGATCTAAGTATCTTGGAAGTGATGTTATTCCGAATATGTATAACATTCCTGCTAACACTGATTGGAAAATTCTTAGGAAGTAAGTCCGGGAAACTGAGTTCTGAACATTGAAAAATAATATACTCAGTGAACAATTTTTTTCATGAAAAGGAGCGCACAACAGGACCGATAGTGGCCTAGGTGTATTTCTTTGGATTTGATGTACTTACTATACATTCTCGTATCAACCTAACCATTTATCACGTTCGCTTACAAGTAACTAGTTAAATAAGTACCTACTTATAAATAGGCAGTTCAAAAGTTGTTTTGTTTTACACACTAAAAATTGCTCACACAGACTACGAACTTAGCCCACTTGGTTGTTAGTTTGTTGTCGTACTTACATCACCACTGTTTAGTTATTTAATAGTGCTATCATTCAGAAAAACATTCGCTATTCGGTATAATTTTTACTTAATTCAAAAATTATATGTAAGCGTCACGCCTACATGTAATAAAAAAATTATTATTTATGACTAGCTATACAAAGTGTGCTTTGCTACCCTAAAAGGAATATATAAATTCCAGATTTATTATATGTTGCATATGAAAGATGTCAAGCAAATTATTGCAAGTTCGCCAGTTTCTATCTATAGCCAATTTCTATCTATCTATAAAAAATTTGAATAATATAAGAGTTTCCAAGATGCACGAAATTTTGTATTTAATTCATATATGTTGTGCCAAGCCACATATTGAAAGTCCGCCCGTTATGCTCTAAATGTTCACATGAATTTCAAAGTTCCCCATGTAAAATTTGAAGATTCTAGCTCTAATAGTTTCTCATATATACGCTTTTTTTCCTCCAAAATGTTCAGATGAATATTTCAGTTCTTCGTGGGAAATTTGAAGAATTTAGTTCCATTAGTTTTCCAGATAAACGAATTTTTGTCTTTAATTAATATGGAAGGTGCCGCTCCCCTCATGGGTAGTCCGCCAATTTATTACCTAAAATGTTTAGATGGATGTTAAAGTTTTTCGTGCAAAATTTGAAGATTCTAACTGTAATAGTTTCCAAGATAAACGTATTTTTGTATTTAATTTATATGGGAGGTGCCACGCCCCCTAATGATATTCCGCCTACTTTTTGTCCTAAATGATCATTTTGAGACTAAAGTGGCTCCGACAAAATTTGAGGACTCTAACTGTTATATTATCTCAAATATACGGATTTTATATTTTCTTAATGTGGGCGTGGCTCATCGCCCACTTGAAATTTCGAAATAAAAAGTAGCCTATTACCTATTCCAGACATGCAGGAATGCGTTGTGAAAATTTTTCGGTTCAGCCGTTTAGTAGTCTATAACAGCGGTTCCCACAGATATTTACTTCGCGGACCCCTTGAAGAACTTATTTAATTTCGCGGACCCCCATACATATTTTGATATCTTATTGTTCTAAATAATTGTCCATGCGAAAATTGACCTAGTTCATTAATCCCTAGGTCTAATAAATGTAGAGATGTCATATCTATAAAATATTCCCGTACATTGAGAATATATAATATTTCAGATAGGTTTTCAATTGCATGTTTTGAAGATAGAATGACTTCTTTGTTTATATGTTAACATGATGTTTAATTTTATGATCGTGAGATCTTTCATGTTCATTTTTCTTCAAGGTAGCGAAAAGGTTTCTTTATCAAATATTGTCACATGTGCTTAAGGAATCACGTTTCAAGAATTTGTTGCGATTGCAAAGGGTGAACTGAGTAAGTGAGCTAAGTTTTCAGGAAAATAATATAAGAAAGTTGGACTTCTTCTATGTTGTTGCGGAATGCGTTATCCGCATAATATATGATTTGAACTCTTTGTTAAAGTACTGTGAATTTGGAACTTAAATTTGAATTTTAAAATACCAACGAATTATTTTACTTCATGGTTTTTGGCTACATATTTACAGGAAACGCTATGGATTTTCTGATGTTAATTTAATAATATGTATTGGTCGTCAAAATCAAGTTAAAATCTGTGTATCACGTCGGATTGGAATATTTATAAAGAAATGCATAAAGAGTCACCTCTGTTTTGGAAATATATAATTTTAGTCTTTTCAAACGAGAACACTTTTGCTTACAATTTGATAAACTTAAATCTGTAATAAGCTTGTCTTTGAATTGAACTTCATACTCCGGAATACCAGTATCCCTAATTTAATTGTAAGGCAGAGTATTATTTGTCTGAAATAAAAACCATTATTTCAGTACATATACAGGAAATAAAAATTACAAATCACGCAGTACTTTACTTTATAAAAGTTATACAATAAATTTGTAGGGCCTAGCTTCTTCCTGATAAACAACCGAAAAAATAAAATTCAAAAAGTCACCAAAAAATTTGGGATTATTGCACAAAAATTGGAGATATTTGTACATACATATAAAAGCAGAATATTGTTTATTCATGGTTTTTTTCGTTCGTCTTCGCGGACCCCCTAGGATTTTACTACGGACCACTAGGGGTCCGCGGACCCCCATTTGGGAACCGTTGGTCTATAACGTTCAAACATACAAAAAAACACACATTAATTTTTATATATAAAGATAAGGTTGAAGGACGTTATTTTAACATGACATAATACATAGTTCATTTTATAGGATTACCCACTATAAATTTCCCGCCCTTTTTTATTTTAATTCTTGTATTCTTTTGGATTACTGTTACGATTCCGTCCATGTTAATTTCAACTATACATAATGGTAGAAAAGTAATCATTACAAAGTTTTTAATATTATGGCAAATGCGAAGAAAATTTCAAAAAGGGCCTTAAGGGGGTCTTGACTCTATTATCTTCTTCTATCGAAATATTCTTAATTAAAATAGACCTTTGGAATTCTATATATAATGGAACATAAGGAACATTAATGCGGATATATGAAAGAAGGAATTGGGAGTTAAATTTTCCAAATTTTTCATAAGTTTAATAAAAATGTGGCATTAGAAACTATTCTTCTACTTTTTGATGTAGGGAGCTTAATATGCCCAAGACGATTGCGATATGGAGGTAGATTTGTGTTAGGATTCCACCTGAGATTTCGTAGGCAAAAAATGATAAATTGTTTTTGCACGGATTGAAGTTTTCTAATATTTATGTTGTACTGAGGATCACAGATGTCATATGCGTATTCAAGAATAGGTCTAACTAATGTTGTAAATGGACATTTTGTCACATAAGTATCATTAAATTCCTTTGCCCAAAGTTTTATGAAACTTAGGACACCAGTTGCCTTGTTGACAGTCATAATAATAATATGAGAATTAAAATTGATTCTTCAATCAAATTTAACTCCTAAATCTATAACTGATTCAGTCAGTTATGGACGGAGAATACATTGCGAAGGATATGTGATGACATTTTCTTAATTTCCAAGATATGGAGTACATTTTTTTAACGCTTTTCAGGTTGGTAATGTCCTGTTTTGCCAGCGTGCTGTATATATTCAAAATAATATCACACAGTTAAATACTCTTTATTATACATATGTATGTATGTAAATTACAAAATATAACCCTCTCTCTTCGATACCCATAAAGAACATCTTTTTTATTGATACAAGTCTATGCTGTGATTACTGGCACGAAATCATCGTCGTCCGTAGCTGCTAATGCATCCTTGACAATATCCTTACATTCCAGGAGATCTTTTGCACAAACATCTGGCTTTTTTTCCAATTCTTTGGTAGAAAAAACAATTCAATAAATAAAATTTGGTTTCAAATAAAAAAAAAATTTCACTTACCTTTTATGTCTTTCACACACATATATTCTTCCAAAAAACAATCATTTATAAAAGAACAATCAAACGATTTGCCTTCATTATTTGTAATGGTTGCACAAATTGGCTCATAATCAATAAGACAAGATTTAAAGCAATTGGATTCGTCATCACCCCTGACACAGAAGAATAGGCCCAATAATAAAAGTATGCAACCAGTAATAAAATGCATTCTTAAGATTAGGAAATAGTTTACACTTCAATAAGACAATTTTAGAAGTCGTTGAATGTGAAGCACTTTATATATTATTTTGGAAACAACTGTCTTAAATATTTTATTAATGAGAGAATATTGTAATGTGTTTATGACTGAACACGTATTTCAGTAAAAGTTATTAAATAGGCAATTATGAATCCATAAGCTAGTTAAAACATTATATTTGAAATTTATAACTTTTTCCGATCGATCTAAAATGGTGTTGCATCATTCCCACATTTAATTGACATCAAAAAAGATGGGGGGTATATTGTTATTGTCAGTCCGTTTGTAACACATCGAAATATTCGTCTAAGATCCATAAAAGTATAAGTATTCTGGGTCCTTATTAGATTCTAAGATGTTCGTCTGTCTGTCTGTCTGTCTGTTGAAAACACGATAGAGTCCATGTTTATGCTGAATTTCACCTATAGCGGTGATATTCAGCATAAACATGTTTTATAGATCTCCTCATAAAATTTTATAAGAATCGGCCCATAATTGACCCTACCCGCTATATAAGGTCCCCTTCAGGAAATGTCTTTAAAGCTTATAACTGCTCAAAAAAGTATCTATAGCGGTAAGATTCGACATGAACATATTTTATAGGAACCTAAAACTCTTTGACAAATTTTATAAGGATCGGTACATAACTGACCCTACCCCTCATATAAGGTCCCCTTCAGAAAATGACTTTAACACTCAGTACTGCCTTAAAAGTACGAGTGCAGCAATAACACTAAATATGTTTCATACATGCCAAAATTTCTCTACCAAATTTTATGAGAATGGGTTTATAATTGACCCTAAGCCCTCTTCAGAAAATGACTTTAACGTTCATTTTTGAGTATAGCGATGAAATTCGACATAAATAAGTTTCTTACAAGACAAAATCTATCTGCCAAATTGTGTGAGGATCGGTTCTTAAACGCTAACTTTCATAAATATACGAGTACAGCGAAGAAATTCGACATAACTAAGTTTATTACAAGCCAAAATCTCTCTATCAAATGTTATGAAAATCGGTCCCCTTCAGAAAATTCCTTTAACGCTCACGAGTGGCTTAATAATAGCAGTGTAGTGGTAAAATTTATCATAAACAAATTTTATAGCAACAAAAATCTCTCTAAATGCCCTATTCAGAAAATAACTCTAATGTCTATATTAATTTCGAATAGTTAAATTCAGCATATATACTATATCAAATCAATGAGAGAAAACCTACTTAACTTTATTTTAATTTTACGGCACGGGTATAGAAGTTTCGGTATGGCAGAATATAATACTCTTACTTGTTTGAATTAACTTCTTTTGAGTAAAAAAAGCTCCTATAAGAGTACTCCCTATTTAGCCTACCACATAGGGTTACCCCTAGCCACCGACTGTCCAGGTGACTAGCTATTTTAACATGTGCTTGTCCTACGAGGAAGTCAATCGTCACCCCATAGGTCACACAGAGACAGACAAGTGTTTTTGAAGTGTCCCCTCTCTCGCTTACAAAAGGGACACTAAAGTGACGATTACCTTCACCCTCGTTTACAAAGAGTACATCCGTGACGAAAGACGAATTAGAGCCCATCAGGTGGTTTAACATAAGTGGAAATCACTGTCTTTTTCCTATGCATTGACTCTTTGTCGAACTGCAGGGTAGTTAATAATTGATACACATACATACATATGTATATATTTCTAGACTGACATATTCACACATGATAATAAGTGTAGTAGTGTAATAATAGTAATAGTGTAGTAAATGGTATATTTGGTACATTAAAGAAAAATACCTAAATATTTAAACATTAATCTAAATAATAATATAAATAGAATATCCTTTCTAATATTAAAGTAAGTACTTATGGTCCTTCAAGTGCACACATTCGATATGATCTACGGTACAAAGACCTGGCCTACTTATCAATTCTTTGGGGAAAAAAAAAAAAACAAACCAATAAATACATTTTTTCTTTTCATAAAAAAATTTCGCTTACGTTTTATGTCCTTCACACACATATATACTTCCATATAACAAATATTTGCAAAAACACAATCTAACAATTTGCCTTTATTATTTTTAATGGTTGCACAAACTGGCTCGAACTCCATAAGACAATGTTTTACGCATTTGGATTTGTCATCACCCATGACACAGAAGAATAGACCCAATACTAATAAAATTATGTAACCAGAAACAAAGTGCATTTTTAGGTTTAGCAAATTGTAAACACTTCAAGAAGATAGTTTCAGAAAACGTTTAATGTGAAGCACCTTTCATCATTATTTATATGATTTTTTTTTTTTGAAACAACTCCATTTTTAATTTTTTTATGAATGAGGCATAATAAGTGTATGACTGAACACGTATTTCGGTAAAAGTTATTACATTTTCAATATAATCAATATCAATTTATATAATAATATAATATTAGTTAGTTAGTTGGTTAGTTAGTTAGTTAGTTAGATAGTTAGATAGTTGGTTAGTTAGATAGTTAGTTAGTTAGTTATTTAGTTAGTTAGTTAGTTAGTTAGTTAGTTAGTTAGTTAGTTAGTTAGTTAGTTAGTTAGTTAGTTAGTAAGTTAGTTAGTAGTTAGTTAGTTAGTTAGTTAGTTAGTTAGTTAGTTAGTTAGTTAGTTAGTTAGTTAGTTAGTTAGTTAGTTAGTTAGTTAGTTAGTTAGTTAAGTTCGTTAGTTAGTTAGTTAGTTAGTAGTTAGTTAGTTAGTTAGTTAGTTAGTTAGTTAGTTAGTTAGTTAGTTAGTTAGTTAGTTAGTTAGTTCGTTAGTTAGTTAGTTAGTTAGTTAGTTAGTTAGTTAGTTAGTTAGTTAGTTAGTTAGTTAGTTAGTTAGTTAGTTAGTTAGTTAGTTAGTTAGTTAGTTAGTTAGTTAGTTAGTTAGTTAGTTAGTTAGTTAGTTAGTTAGTTAGTTAGTTAGTTAGTTAGTTAGTTAGTTAGTTAGTTAGTTAGTTAGTTAGTTAGTTAGTTAGTTAGTTAGTTAGTTAGTTAGTTAGTTAGTTAGTTAGTTAGTTAGTTAGTTAGTTAGTTAGTTAGTTAGTTAGTTAGTTAGTTAGTAGTTAGTTAGTAGTTAGTTAGTTAGTTAGTTAGTTAGTTAGTTAGTTAGTTAGTTAGTTAGTTAGTTAGTTAGTTAGTTAGTTAGTTAGTTAGTTAGTTAGTTAGTTAGTTAGTTAGTTAGTTAGTTAGTTAGTTAGTTAGTTAGTTAGTTAGTTAGTTAGTTAGTTAGTTAGTTAGTTAGTTAGTTAGTTAGTTAGTTAGTTAGTTAGTTAGTTAGTTAGTTAGTTAGTTAGTTAGTTAGTAGTTAGTTAGTTAGTTAGTTAGTTAGTTAGTTAGTTAGTTAGTTAGTTAGTTAGTTAGTTAGTTAGTTAGTTAGTTAGTTAGTAGTTAGTTAGTTAGTTAGTTAGTTAGTTAGTTAGTTAGTTAGTTAGTTAGTTAGTTAGTTAGTTAGTTAGTTAGTTAGTTAGTTAGTTAGTTAGTTAGTTAGTTAGTTAGTTAGTTAGTTAGTTAGTTAGTTAGTTAGTTAGTTAGTTAGTTAGTTAGTTAGTTAGTTAGTAGTTAGTTAGTTAGTTAGTTAGTTAGTTAGTTAGTTAGTTAGTTAGTTAGTTAGTTAGTTAGTTAGTAGTTAGTTAGTTAGTTAGTTAGTTAGTAGTTAGTTAGTTAGTTAGTTAGTTAGTTAGTTAGTTAGTTAGTAGTAGTTAGTTAGTTAGTTAGTTAGTTAGTAGTTAGTTAGTTAGTTAGTTAGTTAGTTAGTTAGTTAGTTAGTTAGTTAGTTAGTTAGTTAGTAGTTAGTTAGTTAGTAGTTAGTTAGTTAGTTAGTTCGTTAGTTAGTTAGTTAGTAAGTTAGTTCAACAATTGTATTACAAATTTTATTTGGATCGCTTCATAATTAACCTTGTGCTCCCATATTTTGATACAATTCGACAAAAAAGATTTCTTTGGACATCTTTGGGTCATTTAAAATTATCCTAATGCTGATGTTACTATATTATAAAATTCATTTTATTAATGAATACACATAGGGATTAAGAGAGTATTTGTTGAACTCATTTAATTTGTAGGAGTTTATAAAATAGATTCCGAAATCTAAAGCAAATTTAATCTCTTAAAGCACTTACGTTTACTACAGTAGTATATGTATATATTAACAAAAGTTAACAAAAATTTTAAGAATAACAAATTATATTTATGTATAAAAAATTAAAAGAGTTTGCAATAACTTTAACGTTTTTCAAGTAAGTTTTATTGTTTATTTAATTTTGAAACAAAAGTTCTGTGTTCATCATCATTTCTCAATAAATATTTAACTTTATTAATACTTTTTTACATATTTAATATAACCACTTCATAATTCTACATTACCAGTATGCTCAAGACAATATTAACACATTTAAGAATTTTTTCTGCACAAGCTTCCGGTTTTTGTTGCAATTCTTTAAATAAAAAAAAACAATAAAAGCAATTTTTTCACATAAAATACTAAATTCACTTACCTGTTTTCTCATGCATACACATGTAAGTTTCCAAATAACAATCGTTTGGAAAGGTACAATCTAACTGTTTACCATCGACATCTTCGATAGTTGCACAAATTGGTTTGAAAATAAAAGGACATGGTTTTCGGCAATTGGATTTGTCATCACACATGACACATAAGAATAGACAAAATGATAAAATTGTGCAATTAATAAGAAATTGCATTTTAAAGATTATTAAATACTTCACACTTTAACAAGACACTTTCTGAAGGCATTGTTGAATGTGAGGCCCTTCCGTTGTTATTTATATAAATGAGATTATGTCTGAACACGTATTCCAGTAAAGTTTATAAATTTTTTAGTGCAAAAAAAAAAATTATAATAGTTTTGTAAGTACCGTCGTTGATTGTATTTGACTAATAAATTTGACTAGTCAATTATAAATCTGAAATTTACTTAGAATATTTATGATGAAATCACAATACGTGTTGTATGGTTGTATAGTGCTATGTCGTAATTTATTTATTACTAGCTATACCCAGTGTGCTTTGCTAC